AGGTGGTAATCAGGTAGTAATCAGTTTAAAATCGGGTACCTGATTTGTGCCTGATTTTTTATCTTTCGACCTGTGCAACTATTAAAAATTTTTAAAAAATTTAAAGTAGTTAAAAAGATTTTTACATTTTTTGCTTGAAAGTAGAGGGGTAACTTATTTTCAGAAAATATAATATTCCAAGTCTATATAGTTTAGGAATCTCTAGGGGTTCCTAATACTTAATAAAACCATTCTGCACTAAATAATAAAAGCGCAACAGCATAGTCAATAATTTGGCCAAAATTTGGCTAAAATTTGAACTATAGAATTGCAGATCTTTGCCAAAAATGAAAATGATTTGCATTACACAATTTTGAAAAATCTCTGACTAATACAGCTAACATATTTTTTTATCAAGATAGCCTGCTTTTATTTTCTAAGTAAAGTTATTCAAAGCATGCTTTTACATGTAAATATCACCAACTATTGATTATTTTTTGTTTGAGAATATGTAATCACTTATTATTGCTTCGTTCCTGCGCAGCTACCTTATTACAATCAATTTTTATCTACAAACAATACCTGCCGTTACTCTTAGAAATGGCATATAAACATACGCTCCGCGATATTTACATATCACTCCATTCCTGGTATACACACCATAAATCGCCGGATACAAGACCCGGGTCTAGTATGCAGCCGAGAGTTCATGTCACTAAGAGGAAAACTTTGAAGGGTATGCATGTTTCGCATTTATAATAGGCAATCCAGATATTTGAAAAACCCCAAGTTTATAGATCTCATGATACGCATCCGGGTATACTACATGGTGGGTCTACTATCATGGGGGATCTTGTATCCGGCGATTTACGGTACGTGATTTCATCAATCCATTCCTGGTATACACTTCGCGATATTTTCAATATCCCTGTAAATAATAAACTTTGTGAAATTTCCAATATCACACCGTTTCTGGTAAGGCTCAGCTTTCGAATTAGTGAAATTTATTTTTATATTTTTAAATTTTATACCGAAAATTTCAGTACGTTAAACTGTTAATGCATCGATCGCAAAGATTTTTATCTATTTCTTTTATAGGTTTTCATGAAAGATGTATAAATTTTGCAGTAGTGCTACAAATTGAAAATCGAAAATCACAACTAATCGAAAAGTTGACAACTAATCGATTGAAAAATTTTTGGCAACTCATAGTAAAATCGAATAAAAATCGAACAAAAATCGAATAAAAATCGAATAATCGAAAAGTTGACAACTAATCGATTGCAAAATTTTTGGCGATTTGTAGCACTATTTTGCAGAATAATTTCTTCACATTTGCTGATATTGAATAATTTTTTTATATACGTTATATTATGCCAATTTTACAATAAATTATACAGAAATATTTAATAATATTTGATGTTTAATAAATGTGAACGACCCAAACCATCCTACCCATTAAAACTTCTATGAGAATGAAAAATGGATGGACTCAGAGAAAATATAAAGTACTACTTTTAAATTTTATCGGTTCTTATGGGCAAATTGGTAGTTTTTTTAAAAAAAATTTCATGCATGTCATGTGTATGAAATTTTTGGCCTGCATTATGCTAATACAGGATGGCTCTCTCGAATTATGAATGTAAATAAAATTTTTGCGCATAATCATGTACATTTGCCCATCATATGACCTTGGTCATAGGTCATTTCAGTCATTACAAGGTTATATCAACCTTTGTTATCACAAAATGATTTATGACAGGTCATAAAAGTAATATAGATTGTATGAGGACATTGATATTTATTGGTATATATTGACGAATGTACCAATAGCCATTCCATAATAAAGGCAAACCATAGCGTAAAACCCAAGATACCATATCTCATAAGTACGGCGATCCTCTTTTTGGTCTTTATATTTAATTAATCTAACACAAGTCCACGCTCTTATAACAAAAAGAACAATTTCAACAATAGTGAATTCTGATGGAACAGGCATATTAAGTTTTTTGATACTAGGCAATATCAAAAAATATCTCGCAGAACCATATAGGAAAAATATGTCTAGGACAGATACTAAAACAGTCAACCACCTACAAATGTTATCACCGATAAGAAGGGGTAATGTTTTACGACCAATAAACGCGTCACCTTTCTGATCCCGAAGATCTTGGACTTGAATGGTGAACGTTACAGAGAAAACAACCGAAAGTATAAATGGGCACGGTTCGCAGCTCCACCATTTAGATGCGTTAAACTGAGTACCGATTATAAGATTAGCGGTAACGACATACATAATCCATGTACCAAAAGCCGAAAAAAAATTTTTGCAGAAAGCATTGGCATCAATGCCAAAAATCTTAAAAGTGACAAACCATGCTTGCCAAATAAAAGCACTGATAAGTAAAGGTAAGCCACCGATGAGATAAGATACAGTTGGATAGATTATGTTAAGTGCGATTAAACGGCATCGTGCACCTTCAACTGTGACGAGACAAGATGGAACAGGGCGAAAGGGTTTATTAAGTCTGTCTTCATCCATATCATTAATTTGATTCAACCTGTAAAATAAAGATCATAATATTAAAATGATATTACAGGCTTCTCTTACATCATCAAATGTATGTAATGTGCTTACCAATTGAAAGAGATGAGAAAACTTGAAAAGTATATAACGATTCGAAATAAGCGTGGAAGTAAGATTTTTTGTATAATCTCGAAGAACGAGAAATAATAATTTGAGGTCACAACTGAACTAAAAAAATGCATGTAAAATGCACCTATAATGGCGATAGTATTATTAATACCACAGATTAAGCTCATTAAACAAAGCAACAACACTATCAAATTACCGGCAGCCATAAGTAGTGGAGGAATTACAGCGGCTAACAAGTCAGTGATTGATAAGAAGATCATGATAAAAGCTTCATTATGAATTGCTTTTAAGATATTTTTTATAGAGATGATATACGAGGATTTTTCTTGTTCCATGTTTTTTGTTTTTTGACTTCAAACGAATTCCATAATTTATATACAGGTTCAGTAATACATTCATTCACAGCTTAAGTTCTTTAAGTTACATGTTAAGAAATGGCGAAGTCTACGTGCCCTAAATGTTGGTTATGACATACTATATTTAGTAATGTTAAAAAAGAGAATATTAGGGTGATTCAAACCTAATGCTCATGGTTTCCGATTTCGAATTAAATTAGTGACTTAAATTATTTTGAAATCAGTGATTCGTAAATTTTATTTATTTTGATTTGTAAGCTTATTCATATAATAATAGTTAATACTTTTTACGATCGTGAATTTTCTTTATTAATTTATTATGGCTACATTGAATAATTTTAGAAAATGATGCTTTATAATTGTTCGCATTTGATCATCTAAAATCTACTTGGTGTTTCTTTTAATATGTGGGACTAAATTTTTTAAAAATAATTTACACAAATGATTTTTATTACAAAATATATTATATTTAATTTATACACCGATCTTTGGAAGCAATTTTCTTAAAAACCATTGCCATTGTATTTAAAAAATATATTTATATCTTCTAAATACATTACGTAATAAAGATTTAAATCAGCTTTAAATTGATTTAAATAAAAAATCAGTGATTTATAACATTGTGAGTGCGTACTGTACGTACACGCATACATGCATACATACTTCAAACCTTATTGTATAAAATAGAAATATTGAATTGCATTATCCTATTTTGGCGCTCGAGAATGAACTTTTTATTTTGAATTCTGTACACTGATGATTATAATCCACTTTCAAGTAAATAAACTCGTTTGAACGATTAAATAGATTTTTGCCAACTTTATCGAATGTTACTGTATAAATTTACAGTATCATATAAAATTTTCAATTGAAATAAACATACCTACTTTAAGTCATACTACTAAACGAAAATCCGAAAACAAAAAAAAAATTATTCGTTTTTTTTATTTTTATTTTTGTAAGAGTATAAAACTTTACTACTGTAATTTAGTAGTAACAATTATTTTCAATATTACTATTAGTATACTAGCACCTATAGCAGTATTGTATCAGATACTATACGAGTTCTGAAATCTATTCATTCGGGAAAATGGTTTTTGAGAACTTGAGTTACATTATAGCGTTAGTATTAAACCAAATCTATTAATAAGTAATTTCAGTAAGATTTATTTATTTGCATTATTGTATAATATAAATAAAAATGAACTCGAAACTTCAAATGTTCGTGTTAATTATTTTATAAAAATCGCGGCCCAGAATATAGTTGATACAGAGTTGGTATATCTTAAAATTACAAACTTGTAACAAAAACTCCTTGGTTGTATCAGAAGCACTTGTTTTCGTTAGCGTTTTAGATTATTTCGATTTTTAATTTTTACTAATAAAAAATAATTTAAAATTTTTTTATTGAAGAAAAACTATGTTTTTGATTTTGCGGCTGTACCAAGGTGGCGTGACCTAGTTTATCCAATTAAAGACGGGATTTCAAACATCCAATCACAACTTGGGGAGAAATTTGGGCTGATAAAAAATAAATTGATCAGCATGCGTAACGTAGGAAAACAAAATCGGGGTTTTTTTAAGAGATCGGCTAAATATTTGTTGAATTTATTGCTTTGTAATCTGTAATGTAAACTTATATAATAAAGTTACGCATTCGATATATTTAATTTCACTGTTTATGTTTTTTTTGTCCTTTGTCTCTATAAGGTATAATTGTGGTTTTTAGGGGCCCGATATTTCCACACCCATGTAACCCATGTAGATCACTATTTAACTAAATTTGATGAAATTTTTTCATTTGAATTCTACTTATCTGTAGAATTAAGATAAAAATAAAATAATTAATAAGTGTAACTCTGCAGATTTTTGCATAGAATGTATTTAATTTCTGGTTATAACTGCTGCGTATGAAGTTTTGCACAGATTTTCGCACAGAACTGCACTAAAAAAATTTTCCTGATGATACCTTCAATCAAAATTTTTAAAAAATTTAAACGTCTATTAAAATATTAGCCGTGGCAAACCTTTTATCGAAGGTATCTCGTCAACCACCCAACCAAATTTGATAAAATTTTTTTTATTTGAATTCTACATTCTGTAGAATTCTGATAAAAAAAATTTATCAAATTTAGTGTCGATTGGAGTTTTAAAAAAAACGTAAATGTCTATCAAAATATTAGCCGCGGCAAAATTTTTTTAACTTTGATCGAAGGTATCTCAACAACCGCCCAACCAATTTCGAGTACTTTTTTTAAATTCGAATTTACAGATCTGTAATTCCAATAAAAAAGATTGATTTATCGAATTGATTAGATCGTTGTCGAGATATCTTTGATCAAAGTTTTAAAACTAGTAAAACGGCACCGTTTCGTAGGGCTGGAGCCTTATTTATTACACGCTTAAACTTTATAATATACACATATATATAATAAGTAGAGATGGGTTTCATGCGTGCGCATTTTATTAAATTTCATATAGAAAAAAAAAATTAAAAAAAAGTGGGTAGAAAAAAAAAAAGACAAATTTCAAAAAAAGTGGGTTAAAAAGTAAAGGAATAATAATAATAATTAGCTTAAGAAAAAAAAGAAAAAAAAGACTTTACATACTAGGGTCCATATCATTTTCATTCGAAAACTTTTTGGGGGTTAATTTTTCTTGATTGCATCTAGTACATAATCCTGTTT